TTACAAATGAGGTCAATGGAAGCAATCAAAATCAACAAAAGGGCAATGATATGCAAGTGCTATAACAAGTCTCAGTTAGCTTAATGCCGTACACATTTTCAAAGACTTCCTAGGTCGCTGGTTTGATCTACACCAAAATAGGCACAGCAACTAGGGACAGTGTTGGCAAAAAGGGAACAAAAGTATTTTGATTTGTCGAAGCACTGCGAAGATACAAGTTAATTTATTGGTCAGGCAATGCCCATTTTTACAAGCTGATCTGCCAAATGCAATGTTAAAGCTTAACAAACCTTGACACAACAGGACATTCTGAGACACACAAAGTTTAGTAAAATTCTGCACCAGCTCAGAAGCACCAGATTTTGATTCAGTTTATTTACTTTGTCTAACACATTGTGTTTATGAACATTTGTTCTGTGTAGTATTTTTGCACCACATGTATTGCAATATTATAAATGTATGAATGAATAATTTTTGCTGGCCAAAATGGCATGCAAGCACCAATCAATATCTGCTTGTTTATGTACTGTACAACTGAAGCAGTTTCATATATTATCAATGTACAAAAACACAAACGTTGTATATCCTTTTGAGCTGAAAATGTATTTATTGGGGTGTTCACTTATTAGTTACAGTTCTACAAAACATTGTTCATTAGAGTTTAAACATAAATACACCGTTTGAAAGGTTGGAAGGCCACACATACTAAAGAAATACAGTATATATAAAATAAAAAGGGCCTAATGATAATTAATTATTGACTTTTTTCATTTCTTTATTTTGATCTGCAAAATGATCTGTGACATGCAATTCTTCTAAATGTAAATGTTACACAGTCCATGTAGGCTACACCACATATCTTCTGAACACAATATCTTATGATAGTAAAAATATTTACAGTGGTTCTTCTCTTTCTCACTTTCAGTCTGACTGTTAGATTTCTTTTGAAAGTCAGCTGTCCCTTTTGACACCAGTGTGTTGCTGTAACCCGTTTCATCAAACCCTAACTATCCGTGAAAATTCAAAATGGGATTTTCTGTAAAAACCACATTATATTTGAAAAGAAACATTTCAACTGCAACAACTAATCATCTGCATGAGCCGTTGGTACTTGGACCCTGATGATTTCTACTAATTTTTATTTAAATCATATTCTAGCTTTCAAATAATTTTTGCTCTTAAAAAACAATGCACAATGCAAATTCAGAAAGACTAAAATTAATAACATCTTACCAGCCAAAGGGAGACCAATGAGGAGAAGAAAAATGTAAGGAAACGTGGTGCAATTGTTGACTGAGAAGTAAAGTCTAAGTTTAAGCATTAAAGTACACATGAAATCAAAATTGACTGTATTTATTTTGTTAGCGCACATTGCTATTTTTGTGCTTCTGCACATTTGTCCATAACCTATAAAAGAAAAATTTACTAATTAATTTAATTTACTAATTAATTTAAGTAAACTAATTTACTCTGTAATGAAAATATTATGTAAAGTAGTAACACAGACTGTGTATTTCAAATGTTTAATTTTTTTAACTATGGTTTTGCAGTCATACAGTTTTAACTGTCTTAAACCCTACTCTGCTGCTGCGTCATTTATAGCCTGGTATATAACAAGATACTCATTCTGCACTTTTGTCACAAACCTGCCTATTAACATCCCTAACACAGTCCTTCAGGACCAGTGTCCATGTTCTGGCAGTAGCCACAGGAGCACCTGAATGAGAGGCATAAGCTGTGTCCGAAATCGCTCACTCGTTCACTCATTCACTAATCCCTTTATAGTGTATGGCAGTTGAGTGGACTATATCAGAAAGGAGTGAACGAAATGAAGTGAACGGATTCGGACGGTGACGTAGGCCTATAGACTGCGCGTGAAACTTGGAGCTGTTGCAAAAACATCTTCGTCACATACAGGGACGCGGGCTGCAGCACCCCCTGTTTTCACATGGTTGCAAATGCAACGCCAAGTTTGTTCATTTAAATTTATTCAGTTTTAGCATTTAATAATTTATTTGTAATGATCTCTGAAATGTAAATTGTAAGTGGGCTATAATAAATCCATGTTTATCTTTATAAACATGATTAATTTTACTTGTGATGTTTTCTATATGGGAGCCTAATCCTCATGAACACGAGACGCTGGCGCGTGGTATCAGACATGAACTATACAGAATGCGAACAAGATTAACTTTAATACAAGGAGATAATGGCGCAAAAGAGAATTTCAGGTTTTTTTAAATGCCCATCCCAGCAAAAACTTTCCAAAATCGGCATCCAAACAACACCAGCCCCAGCACGAGCACCGACGTAAGTGAACAAGCTCCAGCACGAGCACGGAGACAAGTAAGCCTAGCGGACCCAGCCCAACCCCCGAGATTGATCAGCTACTATCGATAATTTCAAAAATGTGATATGCAGTCAAATTTCCCAGTGTGTAT